ATTTGTAAGGGCATCTGCATGAAAATGACATTGTCATTTGCATTGTGAAAAAGTTAAATGTATCAAGCATTTGCATTCTTACTTTGGCATTGACACTTGCATCGACATTTCCATTAGCATCATTTGATGAGAATAGAAATTTGTATCATGTTTGCATTTATCAATTTTGTAAGTATTAAAAAAAAAGAAGGGGCATGTTTTTAAAGTTTTAAAGTCTCTGTTTAAGAGGAACCGTTCTCAATCAAGATTTCAAAGCCTCTGTTTAGAGGGAACCTTCCTCAGAAAAGACTTTTAGAGTTTAAAAAATATATGATTAGGCGAAAGCCATGTTTTAAAAGATTTTTAAATTTTTAAAGTTTTATTGCCTCTGATTATAAGGAGCATTCAAAGATTTTGAGATTTGTAAGACCTCCGGACATAATCTGTAAGACCTCCGGGCATGATTCTATAAGACCTCCGGGCATGATTTCTAAGACCTCTGGGCATAAATTTGATTCGTAGTGGCATCCCGATCTATTTTTTTATCTTTTGACTTGTGGTGTTATCCAATCGATTCTGTAAGACCTTCGGGCATGATTTGTAAGACCTCGGGCATAAATTCGATTCGCGATGTTATCCCGATCGATTCTTTATCTTTTGACTTATAATGTTATCCTAATCGATTCTGTAAGACCTCCGGGCATGATGTCTAAGACCTCCGGCAGAAATTCGATTTGCGATGTTATCCCGATCGATTCTTTATTTTTTAACTTGTAGTTTATCCCAATCGATTCTATAAGACCTCCGGACATGATTTGTAAGACCTCCGGGCAATTATGTAAGACCTCTGGACATGATTCTATAAGACTTTCGAGCATGATTTCTAAGACCTTCGGGCATAATTTCGATTCGTGGTGTTATCCTGATCGATTCTTTATCTTTTGACTTGTGGTGTTATCCCAGTTGATTCTATAAGACCTCCGGCATGATTTCTAAGACCTCCGGGTGTAAATTCGATTCGTGATTTTATCCCGATCGATTCTTTATCTTTTGACTTGTGGTGTTATCCCAATCGATTCTGTAAGACCTCCGAGCATGATGTCTAAGACCTCCGGGCATAAATTTGATTCGCGATGTTATCTCGATCGATTCTTTATTTTTCTACTTGCGATTTATCCCAATCGATTCTGTAAGACCTCCGGGCATAAATTTGATTCGCTGTGTTATCTTGATCGATTCTTTATTTTTCAACTTGCGGTTTATCCCAATCGATTCTGTAAGACCTCCGGACATGATTTGTAAGACCTCCGATCGATTCATGATATTATCTTAATCGATTCATTATTTTTCAACTTACGGGGTCATCCCAATCGTTTTGTGTTTCAAAAAAAAAATCACGATTTACTTTCAGACAAATCGTTGTCTTTATCTTTGCCCTATTCCTGATTCTCAGTAATGTGCAAAGAGGGACAACTGTAGACACCGATTTTGTTCGGGTCTACTGTTTTAATTTTAATGATAATATTATTAATAATAATATTTAAAAATAATTATTAATTATATAAAAATATAAAAAAAAACAAAAAAAAATGAAACGAAAAAAAAAAGTAACAAAAAAAGAGAAAAAATAGAAAGTAGGGTGGCTGGCACTGCTGTCGCCCCTGATCAGCCACCTTACAGCCTTCTGTCAGCCCCCTGACGCCCCTTGACCAACTCCCTTTCAGCCCACCTATAGCCACCAAGATCCCCCTAATTGAAGCCCTTAAAAAATTCCAGCCATTTCCCCTTCAAGCTTTCGAAAGAAGCTCTCTTGAATCCCTTTCAACATCTCTTTCGGACCCCTCTCTCGAAAAAAAAAGGCCTTCGAGCAGACCCCTCTCGAAAAGCCTTCGAATATACCCTTCAAACCAAGCCAAACTCTTCCATCAACAACCCCAAACACCCCCTAAAATACCCAAAACAGAAACGCAAAAGCAAAAACGCAAAATCAGAAACAAATACCCAAACCAAAGAAAACAAACAAAAAAAAAACAACACAGTCCTCACCTACGACGAGGAACCATCAGCGTCGAGCAAGCCCTGCAAAAACCAAAAAATAAAAAGTCAGTTTCTCAAAAAAAAAAGAAAAAAAGAAAAGAAACCGAAAGCTTTAAGCCTCGATCTACACCGATTGGAGTTGTTTATGGTAAAACGGACTTCAGATTTGGGAAGATCTCGTTGAAATGAGCTTCTGGAAATTTTTTTTGTGTTTTCAATTGCCGGCAACCACCATCGACAGTGGACTAGGCGGCGGCCGGCGCGGTGCTCTGGAGGCTGGACGGCAAGACAACCGGAGCTGTCCCCTAGAGCTTTCTCTCTCTCTCTCTCTCTTTTCTGAAATGCAGAAAGAATAAACCAAAAAAAAAATTTTCAGTTATATATAAAAACAAAGAACCAAAACGATGTCGTTTCGACCAAGGAGGATCCGCGTGTTGACCCGAATCCGACCTGGAATCCGCGCAACCCGACCTGTGAACAAGCTCTTCGAACGACTGCTGACTGGTCCTGTTCAGGTAAAAAAAACATTTTTTTTGAATTTTTTTATATTATTATTTTTGTTATTTTGAGTTTGTTTTATTTATTTTTGCATGATAAATTTCTAAATTTGTTAGAATAAATGTCTCATTGTTTTAATAATAATTAAAATAAAAACGATTTAAAATATATATTAAAAATGTTCAAAATAATATTTATTTATTAGTATTATTTTTCCTGCCTAGATGTTGGAGGGAATAAAAAATATTTTTCTAAAAAATAATTTCGCCTAGATGTCGGAGAATTATTATTAATAAATTTTCATAAAAAAATAAATATAAGAAAATTTTAAATTAATTTTCAAAAATTATAAAAAATTGAACCTGCTTCGAAAGTCTACCTAGATGATGGGATTTTTAGAGATGTTCGCATTTTACTTAAACCTTAAACACTAATTTTTAATTTTCAAAATCCTAAGTTCTTAAACCCCTGAAATCCAAACCCTTAAATCAAAACCCCAAACCTTAAAACCCAAACCCTAAAATCTCTAAACTCTAAAACCAAAACCCTAAACCTTTCATATCCTAAAATTCAAGCTTTAAAACCCTCTAAACCTTAAAACCAAACCTTCAAAACCTCTACTCAAACCCTTACTCAAAACATCCTAAAAATCCTAAGGACACGTGTAAAAATTTTATTTGAAGCAATTTGTTCCCGAATGCCACCTAAATGATGGGGTATTTAGGAAATTTTACTTCGTTAAGTCTTTTCACATGAGTTTTTAATTCACATTAATAATAGGATTAATAAATAAAAAGTATAATAGTAAATTGGGATCTTAAATATAAACAGTCGCACCTAAGTTCTACCTAGATGTTGGAGAGTCGGGGTGGCCTCGTTATACTTAAAAATCTAACTTTTAAATTGCATCTCACCCTACAAAACATTCATTTGTATATATACGTTAGCATGTTTTATCAATAATTATTTGCACTATTCTGTCTTTAATTTTTATTTACTATTTGATGATAAAATATTTTATGATTAAAAAATAAATAATACTTTTTTTTTAAAAAAAAATTGTGATATTACAAAATAAAATAAAAATAACATTCCGAAAGAAATAATTCTTGGTATTCTGCCTAGATGTTGGAGAGTCACCAATAATTTTTTATAAAGAGTGTTATTTCATTTTAAGGATTGTTGTGTTAAATCTTAAGCGAAAAGAGTTATTTCAAATTCTGCCTAGATGTTGGAGAATTTTAAGATAATTCTTTAACTTAAAGATTTTCTCAATATTTCTAAATAAAAATTTTAGCAAAAATATTTTTTTCAAATGATGGGAATTAGTGTTAAATTTCAAATTAAAATCATTTTTATCCAACATCGAAAATAGCGCGTAATTAAATGGTATCAATTTATGGGTGTTGTGGGGGTGCTAATCCTTCCCCACACATAACCAACTCCCGGACTCAACTTAATTTTTCGTAGATCGAAATTTATCTTTTTGATAAACTTTAAACCCGTTTTTATAGTTTTATTAAAAAGATAAACTTTTGGGTGACCAATCACACCCTAACAAAGATTGGTGGCGACTCCCCCTTTTATTTTTCTCGATTTTAAAACATCATCTTTTACGTTTGGTGGTCTCAAAACCGTTACGACATCCATGCACACATAAATGTGCAGCTTCATATAATTCTAGCAAGCCTTTCACATCACTTGTTAAGGACATCTTGAAGTGTCCTTCATCATCTTTGAACTTGTTGAATGTTTCTGCTTAATCAAGAAAGGTATATTAAACATTCACCAAAGTTTGACATAGTAGTACTATATACATACATATATATATATATATATATATTATATGGAATTTCTCCATTGTGGAAGTGCATATTGGACTTACCACATTGAACATTAAATCAATTCTCTCTAAGTAATCGAAATTGAAGAGATGTAGCCTCGAGACTTTTGTCATCTTTGTACTCATGGTCATCATTAATATTTTGCAATGCATCCTGTATCTCTCTTTCAAAATGGTAACTCACACCTAAGCATTTGATTATATCAATTAAACACAATTTGTGAGATGAATCATCTGTATGTACCATAAGCATCGTCCTTACTTCTTGCTTCAATTCTTCGTATTGTAGTTGAGTTGAAGCATCGATATTCTGCAGAATTGTTATGCAGGAAAAAAATTCATAAATATAATGTTAAGGTGGCAAACATTTTGTTTTATACACGTTCTTGTTCACACGTGAATATACACATGTATGCATGAATCAATACGTGCAAACTAGAGGAATTGGTGAATTCACCATCTAAAAAATATAGGGACAAAATTCTATAAAATTGAAACATGTTGACAATATTAAATATTGCATCGATCCCAATTACTAAAAAGGATAAAAAAAAATTAAACATGTATAAAACCACATAAACGTGCAATACATTCTACTATTAAAAAGAGAAATTACACTGACAATAAATTATTTTATCTCATATATAACACCAAAAGATTTCAATTCTTGGCAGCTCGGACAATTTTGTTCTTTTAGTTTCTTATTTATTTATTCTATATGTAAATTCTTGGATCTTCAAAGTGGGATTGGATCAATGAGCAATGAAGTGATTCCGCACTTGACAACATTTCCAACGTGTGTGTACCCATCTCCATCCTTGTAGAGGAAATCAATCACCCTTGCAAGGTTGAGAATTCGTGTGAGGATAGGCATTGGGACCCAAGGTGTCGGCCTAAGTACCAACTCCTGGTTTATATCCTTCCAAGCATTCTCAATTTGCTTGTTCAACTCACCGCATGCATTTTCTTCTGAAACTCCATGCTGCTTCATGTAGCATTCAACGGCCGATGCAACATGCCCTCTCTCCTGCTCAAACTGCATAATCATAATATTTCTAAATAAATATATGGGAAAATTAATTCTTATAATACTTTGCGTCAATTAGAAGCTTTAATTTCTCACAATTCTATTTGATTGTCATTGATAAAATGCATGATTTTATTCTTATTCATTAATTATGATAGAAAAGACGTTATACTAGTTTTTTTTTTTTTCATATTAAGCAATGTCCAAAAAAGTAAAAAATAAATAACACGTAGTCAATTAATTATGTGATTTGTCAATAAAGTGTTAAAACTTTTAATTTTATTGATTAAAATTTTATTTTTGATCATTTCAAATATAAAAAATGATATAAAAGAAAAAGATAGATACATGATGCACCTTGTGTGAACCAATATCGTCCATGAGACGGGCAATTACTGAAGAAGCTTTAATGATTTTAGGGTTGCTAGATGCCCAATCAAATATCTCTTTTGTCACAATGTCTCCCATTCCAACAAAAGATGTGATAGCAAACATGATGTAGCCAGCAGATACTAATCCATTTATCATGTATTCCTCCACCGATGGTACGTAGTTTTCATGGTACCATTTGGCCTCAACGAAATACGATTGCGATAATTGTTTCATCTGAGAAATGAAAAGGCCAAGGAATCTATATTATTATCAGCTTGTGGTCCAAATAATTTTTCCTGTAAGATTCTCTTCTTTACTTTTTTTTGTCATTTTAAACGATGTTTTTTGGGCAAACGAGAGGGAAGTGTGTGGTGGTCTTTTACTGTTTATATTTAGTTTCACCTTTGAATTGAACGAATTTATCTCATGAAAACTGTAAATGAGAAAGTGGCTTAGTGTGAATTTACTTCTTCTTTCGCATACTGGACAGGGTATAATTTTCCTTGCTTTGTCATCACTTCTTCCATTTCTTCATAAACATCTAAGAGGGCCTTGTAGAAGATTTTCATGTATGTTGGGAGTTGATCTATACAGTCAGTATCCCACCTGGAATGCAAATTATGGATTAATAAAATCCAAAATTCTACCAAATTCTACTATATAGTCCATAATTTGAAGATATAAATTGATTCATTACCTCTCAATTGCGTTTGTAAGGAGTTCAAGTTCTTCAAATGTGCCATGTACATCATATATGTCATCCATAGCTGACGCCATGGCTATTGTTTTTGTCAATATCTCTCTAGCAAGGGAGTATTGAGGCTCAAAGTATACTCCCAATATCCAAAAGTAACCTTCAACCAATCTATCCCGTGCAAATGGCAGTTTTCCAGGAAAATCTAAATCTTTATACCACCTGAAATAAAACAATTAGCCCAAGTATTACATACTGTTCGGTTCTCAGAAGTTGTTAAGGCTCGAAATCTGATTGTTCGGCATTCTACCAACAGCTTAAATGGCTGTTGACAACAATTTCATATAGAAGCATTAAGAAGTAATTACCTAGAGATCTTGCTTAGCTCTTCCTTGTGCAAATTTTGTAATAAGTTGAAATCCAACTTCGCAAAATTTAGTAACGTTTTGTCATGTGAACCATCTTCTTGATATATAGAAATGTATCGCCTAGCCTCTAGCCTTGGCAAGCTTTTGCGGATGGGTCGTTTTCGGGCATGGGAGACTAGTGCTGAAAGGGGATATTCAATGCTACTACTTTCTGCCAAATCTAGATGAGTGGTGGTGAAAGCAAGTGCTTCTTCTAGTATATGTTCTCCATGCACACATAAATGTGCAGCTTCATATAATTCTAGCAAGCCTTTCACATCACTTGTTAAGGACATCTTGAAGTTTCCTTCATCATCTTTGAACTTGTTGAATGTTTCTGCTTAATCAAGAAAGGTATATTAAACATTCACCAAAGTTTGACATAGTAGTACTCTATACATATAAATATATATATATATATATATATGGAATTTCTCCATTGTGGAAGTGCATATAATAGGAGAAATTGGACTTACCACATTGAACATTAGATCCATTCTCTCTAAGTAATCGAAATTGAAGAGATGTAGCCTCGAGACTTTTGTCATCTTTGTACTCATGGTCATCATTAATATTTTGCAATGCATCCTCTATTTCTCTTTCGAAATGGTAACTCACACCTAAGCGTTTGATTATGTCAATTAAACGCAATTTGTGAGATGAATCATCTGTATGTACCATAAGCATCGTCCTTACTTCTTGCTTCAATTCTTCGTATTGTGGTTGAGTTGTAGCATTGATATTCTGCAGAATTGTTTGTAGGAAAAAAATTCGTAAATATAATGTTAAGGTGGCAAACATTTTGTTTTGCACACGTTCTTGCTCATATCGAATACACGCATACATGCATGAATCAATACATGCAAACTAGAGGGGGAATTGGTGAATTCACCATCTAAATTATTTACCATTTTAGAAGGACTTGAAAGGAAAAGATCCCCCCAGATGCTACGATGAAAATTGGCAGAGCGACGATTCTTGATGGACTTGGAATCATGAGCCGAAGCTGGAAGTGATGAAGAAACTGGAGAAGACATCTCTCGAGCTAAGTAATTATGTTGGAAACAATATAAAATGAGATGATCTTGTAACACGGATTTTTTTTGCCTTGTGGTCTTAGCGATCGAATTTGGTGTAAGCCTAACTGCTCCCATGTTGTTGTATTTATAGATGTTTGCCAGCATTGAAATGTTAAGTAAGCTCTTAACTTGAAAAAAAAAAAAATTATAAATATTAATATTTGAATTCCAAATTTAGTAAGTATCACGTGATTGTATAAATAAATTGAATTGAGCTCCAGACCTAAAATTCAAATTTTCAATCAAGACTCAATTAAAATTCAAAGAATACAAAACCCATTTAATACTCAAAAAATCCCTTAATAAAATGGGGTGTTTACAACAGCGGTCAAACAATGAATGTCACGTGTGAGGTTCCAAGTCCCTTTCATATAAGAGAGTGATGGGTGTTTTTCATTCATGAACTTCCAAAACAATTTTGGGTGGTACATTTAGGAAAAAAAAAAAAACATAATTTCTGGAGTCTGAGTTCTAACGTCTGTAATTATTTTATTTTATTTTTAAATTGTGATCTCCTATATTAAAAAAAAGGAAGCACTTATCTGCCATATTAGCAAGCTAATTTATCACATGATATCAATTAGGTTTATTTCTCATGTGATTACAATAAAATTCAGAACGAAATGTAAGTTTTTCAAACTAAAATCTTGATACTGAAATATAGAAGGAAGAAGTAGAAATATCCGCAGAACACATTAATTGCAACTGGGAGAAGCAAAAGTTGGCATCACAGTTGATAATTTTATTTTTTTATATAGAATTATCATAGGGTTTTATGTTAAATTATAACACTTTTATTTTTAATTTTTACTTGATTAAATTTATTTTCTACCTAAATATGTTAATTATCCAAAATATAGGTACAATGAAAGATTGAGGAGAATAAATTGAATATATAATTTAAAAGATAAATTAAAGGTGAAGTGACTGAATTAAATAACTAAAAATAGAAGCCAAATTGGACGCAAAAAGCTAGACAAAGACTTGAAGAAAATAAAGCAGCTGTGGCGTCACTTGTGGACTGGTTTTGGCGTTGTTTCTTCCAAGACTTGAAGCTGTTAAATGAGCCGAATTGAAGCTAAACTCAAGTTACATTGGATGACATTTGAATGCTCACTTTATAGGCTGAAATTGGCAGCAAAAACTGGGGCTAGCACCCAAGGCAGTCAGGGTTTTATGGGGCTGGGCAGTGTGCATTTTACTTGGCTTCAAAAGTTGCACATTTTGGTTTTGTTTGAACTAACTGGTTGTGCTTGAGCTCCATGGGAAGGAAAAGGATGAATTCTAGAACTTGAAGAAGCCTTGAAGAGGTGGTGAAGCTGCCAAAACCATAAGCCAATCCAAAGCCATGTTCTTAGAATGTCCAAGCCGAGGGCAATTTTTTTGTGCATGAGTGAGCTGCATCAAAAAACATGTGCTGCCAAAAGTCACGGTTTTGGAGGGATTTGTTGCGTTGAATTTTCAGAGTTGGCTTTAAATTGTCTTCCTTTTCCATTAAATAACAAAAGCGGACAAGAATTTCCATATTTAAGAGGGGAGCCGAACCTGTCTTCAAATTTGTTGATGGGGAGTTTAAGGTTTTTCTTTGGCAGCACAGTCATAGGTTAGGTAGCATTTTTTCGGGTCTTTCCATTACTTCATGTTTACTCCTTTGATAATTTGTCGTGGAAAAAATTAATTGTGGAAAAAAAACCAACACAAAGGAGAACCAACATGAGGGAACGTTTTTCTTCTCCCATTTTCGGGGTTAGCGTCACTGGAGACTGTTACTGATTTTTTACCGTTACTTTTGGGGCTTATTTGAGCTGGTTTTCATGTATTAGTTGGGGGCTTGACTTATTCTTGGGAGTCTCTTTCATTTTTTCATTTTCTTGCTTTCATTGGGGGCTTGAGTTATTCTTGGGGCGGCTCTTTCATTTTTATCATTTTCTGTTTAACGTCGCTGCCTTTACCGTAAACTTTAGGGGTTCCTTTTCGTGGAAATACTATTTTGTATGGAGATTCTTTTGAAATTTATTAGATTTTAAATTTTAATTTTGATTATATAATCGTGTCTTAATTGAAAAAGTAAATTTTAGATTAAAAAATTCAACCTTAAATTTTATTTATATTTTAATTTTTTAGTTTAATTTTTGGTTTATTTTTTTAATTAAAAGAATAAAAGTCATTTGATAAAAAATAAATATAAAAAAAAAACAAATATAAAATTTTACGTGAAAAATCTTGAATTCAATTTAATTTTTGGACTCTATTTTAGATTTTAATTTTAGTGGTTAAATAATTTTGAAAAAATTTGTAGTTCAATCTATTAAAAGAAATTATACAGAAAATAAAATTTTTAAAAAAATCTTAAATTTGTTGAATTAATTTTTTTAAAATTAAAAAAAATTCAAACCCTGTATAAGAATCTTAAATTTGTGATCAAAGGGAAGGGAGGCAATAACAGAGATAACTGACACCAGAATTCACGATATATAGAGGAGGAGCAATTCACGATCACAAGAGGTTGTCATAAAGCAAATGACTAAAGCAAGATCTGACTATCACAGCCTAGACACAGGTTTCGATTTGAAGAGAAGATTGTAGCAAAGGAAGAAGCTTGATTTGCGTGGAACTTTGACCGACACCGATTGATTGGTAAGTTGGGTTTTATTGTTTTATTATCTTATGTCTTGTTCTGTGCTTTATTATTTATTTATTTTATTATCGGTCCCACTTACTTAAAAAGATAAAAGAAATTAAACATATATAGAATTACACAAAGGTGCAATACATTCTAATATTAGAAAGAGAAATCACTCTGAGAATGAATTGTCTTTATCTCATATATAACACCAAAAGATTTCAATTCTTGGCAGCTCGGACAATTTTGTTCTTTTAGTTTCTTATTTATTTATTCTATATGTAAATTCTTGGATCTTCAAAGTGGGGTTGGATCAATGAGCAATGAAGTGATTCCGCACTTAACAACATTTCCAACGTGTGTGTACCCATCTCCATCCTTGTAGAGGTAATCCATCACCCTTGCAAGGTTGAGAATTCGTGTGAGGATAGGCATTGGGACCCAAGGTGTCGGCCTAAGTACCAACTCCTGGTTTATATCCTTCCAAGCATTCTCAATTTGCTTGTTCAACTCACTGCATGCATTTTCTTCTGAAACTCCATGCTGCTTCATGTAAGCATTCAACGGCCGATGCAACATGCCCTCTCTCCTGCTCAAACTGCATAATCATAATATTTTTAAATAAATATATGGGAAAATTAATTCTTATAATACTTTGCACCAGTTAGAAGCTTTAATTTCTCACAATTCTATTTGATTGTCAATGATAAAATGCATGATTTTATTCTTATTCATTAATTATGATAGAAAATGCGTTATACTAGTTTTTTTTTTTTTTTTTCATATTAAGCAATATCGAAAAAAGTAAAAAATAAATAACACGTAGTCAATTAATTATGTAATTTGTCAAAAAGTGTTAAAACTTTTAATTTTATTTTTGATCATTTCAAATATAAAAAATGATATAAAAGAAAAAGGTAGATACATGATGCACCTTGTGTGAACCAATATCGTCCATGAGACGGGCAATTACTGAAGAAGCTCTAATGATTTTAGGGTTGCTAGATGCCCAATCAAATATCTCTTTTGTCACAATATCTCCCATTCCAACAAAAGATGTGATAGCAAACATGATGTAGCCAGCAGATACTAATCCATTTATCATGTATTCCTCCACCGATGGTACGTAGTTTTCATGGTACCATTTGGCCTCAACGAAATACGATTGCGATAATTGTTTCATCTGAGAAATGAAAAGGCCAAGGAATCTATATTATTATCAGCTTGTGGTCCAAATAATTTTTCATGTAAGATTCTCTTTTTTACTTTTTATTTTTTGTCATTTTAAACGATATTTTTTGGGCAAACGAGAGGGAAGTGTGCCGTGGTCTTTTACTATTTATATGTAGTTTCATCTTTGAATTGAACGAATTTATCTCATGAAAACTGTAAATGAGAAAGTGGTTTAGTGTGAATTTAGTGCTTCTTTCGCAGATTGGACAGGGTATAATTTTCCTTGCTTTGTCATCACTTCTTCCATTTCTTCATAAACATCTAAGAGGGCCTTGTAGAAGATTCTCATGTATGCTGGGAGTTGATCTATACAGTCAGTATCCCACCTGGAACACAAATTATGGATTAATAAAATCCAAAATTCAACCAAATTCTACTATATAGTCCATAATTTGAAGATATACATTGCTTAATTACCTCTCAATTGCATTTGTAAGGAGTTCGAGTTCTTCAAATGTGCCATGTACATCATATATGTCATCCACAGCTGACGCTATGACTATTGCTTTTGTCAATATCTGTCTAGCAAAGGAGTATTAAGGCTCAAAGTATGCTCCCAATATCCAAAAGTAACCTTCAACCAATCTATCTCGTGCAAATGGCAGTTTTCCAGGAAAATCTAAATCTTTATACCACCTGAAATAAAACAATTAGCCCAAGTATTGCATACTGTTCGGTTCTCAGAAGTTGGTAAGGTTCGAAATCTGATTGTTCAGCATTCTACCAACAGCTTACATGGCTGTTGACAACAATTTCATATAGAAGCATTAAGGAGCAATTACCTAGAGATCTTGCTTAGCTCTCCCTTGTGCAAATTTTGTAATAAGTTGAAATCCAACTTTGCAAAATTTAGTAACGTTTTGTCATGTGAACCATCTTCTTGATATATAGAAATGTATCGCCTAGCCTCTAGCCTTGGCAAGCTTTTGCGGATGGGTCGTTTTCGGGCATGGGAGACTAGTGCTGAAAGGGGATATTCAATGCTACTATCTTCTACCTGTAGACACCGGTTTTGTTCGGGTCTACTGTTTTCATTTCAGTATAATATTAATAATTTTAATAATAATAATAATAATAATAATAATAATAATAATAATAATTTTTAAAAAATAATTATTAATTATATAAAAATAATAAAAAAACAAAAAACAAAAAAACAGAAAGTAGGGTGGCTGGCACTGCAGCCACCCCA